GTGTATATTTCTGTATATTTTTTGGAAAATCTAGTGTATTCATCATTTTCCTACACATTTATTCACAGGTGTCTCTAACCTGGAAGTTGCTCTTTAAAGCTCTAATGATAGGACTGCTGTAGTGATGGTCAGTGGCGACTGGTTATTAGGGGCAGGTATTACAAATAATGATTACAAAGAAATGCAACAAAACAAAAAAGTAAATATATGAAATATATTTTAAGATCATGTTTAATCATCTGAACATTGCTATTTTAGTCTGTGTTCTTCTAATTAGTGTCTACAGTGTGTGCCTATTGAGCTGTTTAGAGCCATGTGGGATAATGACCATAGGGGCACTGAGCTGCCATCCCCACCATACGTCATCTCACATAATTCAGAGCTGATTGGCTGTAAGTACGTGTGCCGCGAAAAGTGTGGTGTGTGAAGAGGAGACGAGAGAGGCGTCCTAAAACCAGGAAGTAAGCTGCGCATGGGTTCCCTCCACAAAAAAGCAATGAGATTTCTCCATAGGATTTTAGAAAATAGCTCGAAATAAGATCTGTGGGAAACGTACCTGTTAGATAAATGCACGTTTTGTTCATCCACATGTCTACCCTACTTTTATAATTTTCGAATCATAAATCTATCGATTAGATTTATGATAGACTTTTGAAACTACAAGAAGATAAGGAGGACTTTTACAAAAAAGTAATAGAGATTTTAGTCCAGAAGGATAGGCAAATGGACTTCATCTTCAAGTCAAGGTAAGACCGCAATTTTATTGAAAATGGGATCTTACTAAGAGAGAACAATTCAATATTTAAATGATAAAATTACATTTTTTGGGTATCCTTTTGTTGAACTGTCTGTTTAAAATTAATCGAAGCATCAGACAAAAAAAGCTTTTGAAAATAATATTATATTTTGATTTAGGTCAAAATATAATATTTGTAAACCTGAAGAGTCAGTGCCAGTGCCTCACAAGCCATGAACCTCACTGCAGAAGCTTATATATAGACATCTAAGTTTTTGGTGCCCCACCCCTTTTGTACATATAAAAACGCCACTGGTGATGGCATACTTGGGTTGGGCTGCAGCAGGACTTCAGTCTGTCTGTAGATTTTCTCCGTCCACAGCTTGGTGCAGTCTGCGCGGATCATCAGGTTCTCAAAGTGAGCGTCCAGCTCTGTCTTCTCCGCCTGGCCCAGCTTCTCCTCTGTGAACTGACACAGCAACACAGCCAAACTGACACACAAGTACAAGTCTCCATAGCGTCAAGCTTTCATCAATTATTAAGAAAGCATAGGGACAGCATTCACGACAGCTCATTATTCAGTCCCCCTCAAACTTGTCAACACATTAAGTTTACAACATTTCATGTTTTACTGAGGTATTTTAACTGATTAATGATAATGGTTTACTAGAGACTGGTAGCCTGCACATGCTTGGCCTAAGATATAACGTTACATTAACAAGTAAACGCCTGTGGCTAACATTATTTGGACAGCCTGTGTTTAATTAAAGTAAAACCAAAAACGTAGGCCTCGACTGTTCCAAGCTGAATATCAAGTATCCTATAGTAATATCCTCCTGCTATGCTAATAGGTAGCGTTATGTTAGCTTGTCAGGGCAATAGCCATGGTAGCGTTGCCCCAACAGCAGTCCCTGAGTAGCGTCACTACAGCTGGCTGTCAACATGAAAGGAAGCATCATTAGCCGAACCACAGCCATGTTACTGTGCACGAGGGTTACATTACCTGGACAGCCCGCGTGAAAAACACTCCAGCACCAGAGGCTATTTTCTTCACGTTGAAATCCATTATGTTTGTATCTCCTTGCTAGTGGTCATACACTGACTCGAAGCAGACTACTAGCACTCGACACGGCTGGATGTTGTGGCATACGCAGGCAAACGGCAAAGATCACGTGACCGTCATGGCCCTAGGAGCGTCAAACACGCATCGCTCTGCCAAATACATTTAAAAGCAAAACATTGGAATACAGGCGAGTTTCTTTTGAAAAAATATCGTTATATTTTATAAATTACAGCGGCAACACAACGCTTGGGCAAGTGTTACATTAGTCTTATGGTCTTGCTTTTCATTTTTAAATATGCAATACCAACAGTTGGCCAACAGATGCCATCATTAAACAGCGTTTTGGCTTCAAATCTTTTAAGATTTATTTTGAATATTTTCCCGGAAACGTGCTGTCCGACTGTAAATGTCCGACTAAATGTAAATGATGCACACACAATAGTCAGAGCCCTCTCGTGGTCAGCTTTATTAGTCAGCTATATGTACACATGGGAATTTTAATTACTTATTTAATATATACACTGACGATAAAACTATAACAGTGACATTTGTAAATGTTACTGCATATTGGAACTGTCAGGGTACATCCAAGATTATTAAACATCCCATCAAATGTATCAAAATTGAAGGCAGAGGCATTAGCAATGTAAATTAAAAATTAGAAAGCCATACAAAGACAGTTTTAAAATATAGAGAGCCTACTACTACCATGGATGTAAAAAGATCACTTTTTTACTCATGAAGTTCGTGACCATTAACTAGAACTTCCGGAGCCCTTCAACATAAAACGTGCCTAAAATTGGGGTTGGGCAATGTTTTTGCGTCTGAACGATGACGTAACTACGTAAAAAGCTGTCGACTCGGAGCTGGCTCACATGTGAGTTTTGTTGATAATTGTCCTGTAGATATTAAGTGTTAAACAAATGTTAACTTAACTTTGCTATCTTTGTGTACCAGTTGAATATCCGCTCACTGTGAGGGTATTTACTTTTGACAGTTAGCGCTGTGTGATACAACAGCAAGTGAAATAACGTTATAGCTTGCTAGCTAAATACCACAGATTATTCAGTTAACTCAGATTTAGTTTACTCGAAGTTAGCTTTAAACTATTGCTTACGGTTTTATGTACTACTAGATAGATATATCTAAGTGTACTCGAAATACAGTCGAGACGTAACGGGATAACTTTTGTCTTTTAGTTTTTGCACCGGCACAGTAACGTTATGCAAAGCAGGGGGCCATGGCTCGGAAGTCGAGGACCCGCAACCTGCAGGTGTTTGACACGGAGCTGACCGCCGACACGGCGGAGTGGTGTCCTCTGTCCTCCAGGCAACACCTCCTGGCCTGTGGGACCTATCAGCTGCAGAAAGGGGTGAGTGTGACGCAGGGGCGGATCTAGAAACATATTCATGGGGTGGCAGGAGAATTTGAGGGGTGGCATCCCCTGGCAGAAGTATGCTGATTTAATCGCAGTCATATCAATCAATGTTAACTTGCATGGAAAGCCACAATATTTATATTTTAACTCAATAACATAGGTGACATTATTGTGGCACATCAGTAAAGTCTTACATAGAAATATATACAGGACTGTCTCAGAAAATTAGAATATTGTGATAAAGTTCTTTATTTTCTGTAATGCAATTAAAAAAACAAAAATGTCATACATTCTGGATTCATTACAAATCAACTGAAATATTGCAAGCCTTTTATTATTTTAATATTGCTGATTATGGCATACAGCTTAAGAAAACTCAAATATCCTATCTCTAAATATTAGAATATCATGAAAAAGTATACTAGTAGGGTGTTCAACGAATCACTTGAATCGTCAAATTAACTCGAAACACCTGCAAGGGTTTCCTGAGCCTTGAAAAACACTCAGCTTGGTTCAGTAAACTAAATCACAAGTATGGGGAAGACTGCTGATCTGACTGCTGTCCAGAGGACCGTCATTGACACCCTCCATCAGGAGGGTAAGACACAAAAATAAATTTCTCAAAGAGCAAGCTGTTCACAGAGTGCAGTTTCAAAGCACATCCACAAAAAGTCTGTTGGAAGGGGGAAATGTGGCAGGAAACGCTGCACAACCAAGAGAGATGACCGCAGCCTTAACAGCATTGTGAAGAAGAGTCGCTTCCAGAATTTGGGGGAGCTTCAAAGACAGTGGACTGAAGCTGGAGTCCAGGTATCAAA